CCGTCCCACAGATTTCTAAGAGTCAGACAATGAATTCCTTTCTGTGTATTATTCATCATAGTAAACTTCAGCTGGATGATCACTTTTATTTGTCATTTGGAAAATTGCCTGTGTTTTATTATTTGTTTTTGGCAGGATCCAATGGAGAAAGTGAAAAGTAAAGCCATTGGGCTGGACTGCAGAGCTGGTTGTCAAGGGTAATCTACAAGGTCAGAGGTAAGCTGATATGCAATGGTACGATGGCATTCACGGCACTACGCAGTTCTCTCTTTTCCTTGAATTAACGTGGTGCAATGCAGAGTGTGTGAAGACATCCAGACTAAAGTGCTATTCAAAGACCTTTGCACCAATTCCCTCTCAGAATCACTCAAAATAGAGAAATGAGAAAGTCATGAACTTCTTTTTTGATGCAACTGAGAAAACACGTTACCCAAATCACAATATAGGAGAAAGGGGTGGCAATGGCAGTGAAAATCAAATAGGAACGTGGAGAGACTGAGAAAGTCTGCTCTAGCTGCTAACGTCAGACAAATCTGGGGTGACACGGTAGGATTATCCTGAAGGCCCAAACCAGCAGCCTCTTGTTTGTAACCACTGGGAAGAGCATGTAGTCTGACTGCAGATGCATCTCTGGACCCCATCTGGCCGAGAGATGAAGCTTAGTAGGCAGAAGTGAATGAGAAAATCATCCAAACACGCCATAGATGTAAGAAGCAGCTGGTTGGTAAGAAAGAGTGGTCTGTTGGGCATGATGGCTCACACCTATAATCCCAGCACTTTGGGAGGCTGAGGTGGGAGGATCACTAGAGGCCAGGAGTTCAACAGCCTGGCCAACATGGCCAACCCTGTCCCTATTAAAAAATACAAAAATTAGCGGAATGTGATGGTGCATGCCTGTAATCCCAGGTACCTAGGAAGCTGAGGCATGAGAATTGCTTGAACCCAGGAGGTGGAGGTTGCAGTGAGCCGAGATTACACCACTGCACTCCAGCCTGGGTGACAAAATGAGACTCCAACTCAAAAAAGCAAACAAAAAAATGTCAATCTCTTTACCTCTCTCTCACACACATATGCACACGCATGTGCACATATGAGAATTCTGAAATAAGAATTCCTGTTATCCTAATACATAGATAGACCCTGCTCCCCAACTTCTAGCAAATAGCTGGTCCAGGAAAAATTCACTTCAATCAAAGATAAATACTATAAAAAAAGGTGAACCAGAATATGATATATATACATATACTATGAAGGAGGGGGGAAGGAAACAAAAGGAAAACAACTGATAGTTGATGGACACTCACCAGAAAGAAAAAAGTTCTCACAGAGCTGGTGGTCATTCTGATCAAGCTCATTGCCTTTACAATCATTTTAAAAACCAGTCTTTCTATGAAAAATAGCTCAAGGCAGAGAGGCACTAGTTTCATGAAAACGGGCAACACAATAAAAACAATGAAATATAACCTGCCACAACTCGTGAAAATAGTGAAAGAAAAAAGCTGCTGAGATATCAGAAGGAACATAAAGGCAGGCAAGAGAGAGAAAGGTAAGCACACAGTGGGTACTTACGGAGGATGAGACAGACACAAGGATGGAGACTAGAGAGCCCACGTAAGCCTCACTTGTGTCTTTAGAAAAACCAGAATGAAGGAACAGAGAGTATATTTTAACATCATAGTTCAAAAAAAGTTTCCAGGAATGAAAGAGGAATCGAATCTACAAATTGAAAAGGGAACACTGGGAAAAAACGACACAGGACAGTCAACATCCAACCACATCCTGGCGAAGTGACTGGCTTCCCATAGAAAGCCTCTGGGGCTGGCAGACAAAAAGATCAAGTCACTTGTGTATAGAGAGACCATGAGCTAGTCCCAGTTTGCTTCTGTATTGTGTTCCACCCCACTCTCAAAAGTGCCATGACTTACACAAAAAAGTTATAGGATTGCCTTGCTTAAATAAGGAAAATAATGGAGGGAAGTAAGGCATGGCTCTAGACAGCTCCACAGCAACGTAGCAAATACATAAGTAAAAACTCCTATGAATCCTCAAAGTTTAAACCCCCCAATTTATATTTACTACTTAACCAAATAGCCATTCAAATGAAAACCTCTTTTTGATGTGTATGAATCAAGGAGCATAATTCTCCTAAGTCCTTCTTGAACAAACTGCTAGAAAACAACCTTCAGCAAACCAAGAAGGAAGAAGAGGATGTGCAGCAGGTGTGCCCCAATTTAAAAGCATTTCTTTCCATCCTTTCTAAGATGTTCCCCCTCGATACTCCATATTTCAGTTAATGAAATCTCAAAATCTGATTAAGTGGCAAACTGGGAGTTGTCCTAGTCACCCCATTCTCCTCATTCCAACATCTCACTAGTTCAGTAACTCCTGTCAAACTGTAAAGCGTTCTCTCAAATCTTTCCTCTGCTTTCTATCTCTGTTGTCACGCCTTAGTTCAGGTATGAGTCATTTACGTCTAGACGATTGCAATAGTATCTTAGGTGCAGGAGCAATTTTAAAACAGTTCACAACTGGTACCACACAGGTGCTGAGCATTTAGAAAGGATACCAGTCGTAAACAGTGGCCGGGCATACTGGTACTCATCAGCTGTCTTTGGCCCTTGGCTAATTGAACTCCTTGCCTGCAGTATCCACAATCTCCAGTCCATCGCCCATATTGTAGTTATGATTTATCTAAAGCCTAAAGTTGATCATGTCACTCCTTAAGTTTCTTTACTAGAGTTCCGTTCCGTTACCTGCAGTGTTGTTCAACGTATGAAATCTAAACTCTTTGGCATTGTGAATAAAGTCTTTTAGGACATGGTCCCCACCTAATTTTTAAAGTTGAAAATCTTCTCACTCTCACATTCAGTACCCAACAACCACTCCGGACTTCTTGCCATTTGGTAAATGCACCAAAGACTCTTTGAGATTCAAGTGTGTGGTTGACACTGTCCTACCTGGAACAGGAATGGAACCTACATTTATTTCCCTAAAAGGTCCAGATTCTGGTTTCAGAATCACATCCGACTGAGAGAATCCGCATGGGATAAGTTCCAGGGCTGAGCAACTTGCCCAACAGGCAACCAGCCAGAGGTCGCTTCCTCCTCGTTTTCTTCCCATTTTGAGTTTTCCCTGTTTGTTTAACAACCAGCCACGTTATACTATAGACATACTTCATAATTCTTTTGATTAGTTGACTGACAAGAGAGTCCCTAAGGAGTGGATTCTGCCAGTGATGCCATTTCCTGTTGTCTGTAACAGATCAGCGGCCTCTCCCACCTGACAAGGCAGGGCTGCCTCGGGGAGTCTGTACTGAGCCCACTGGTTCACTCATCCGACAAGCATGTATTGAAAACCTCGGTCACATACGGGGTTGAGAATGATGTGGTCCCTGTCCTTATGAGCTTTCTGTCTAAAGTGGAGGGAGACAGCCAGCAGGAAACAAATGAATGTAAAGTGTGGCAAGGAAAGAAACAGTTTAGTCACGGAGAATAAGCAGGAGAGTCTGCATGGTAGGAGGTCACCGGAGGCCTCCCTGAGTAGGTGATACATAAACTGAGGCCTGAAGGATGAGAAGGCAACAGCCACACAGAGAGTGAAGGGAAGAACGTCCTACTAGGCAGAGAGCTACTTTTCACTGAGAAAAGCAAAAATGCAGTGGCTTTCTCAGTTCAGTGTTTCAAAACAGCATTGCATCCACTTATGTGAGGAGGGCAATCCGTGTGGCTTGAAGATATCTGTACCCTCCTAGAGAAAAATGAGATAATCCAATTTTAAGTATACTTGTGAATGGAAAAATCACATGTAGGATCCAGTTCTCCTAAGTGTGCTTTGTAAATTTCCCTTTGCATGTCTTTATGTTGTCCTTCCCATCTGGCGTGCTCACTACTAACCTCATTCTTCTACTGCAAAATTCCTGCTGCTCTTCGGAGCTCTGGTCTAGCCTTGCCTCCTGTGATGAAACCCTCTCTGACAGCTCCAACCTTCTGTGCTGGGTGTCTTCTCTGAGCCTCTGCACCTTCCTTGTCTTCCTGAGTGAGTATCGCTTATGTATTATTTTCTTCCATGGGTACACATCTCACTTGTTTCCTATGATTTAAAAAGAGACGTGAAGCCTTGGTGTACTAGCCTGCGATTCTTCACCCAGTGTCTGATGGCTCAAGTTATAACATATGTTCAACAGGAAATTTCAAATCGGGGGAGACTGCCCACCTACCTCAGGAATTCTATACAGCCAAAATCCAACAGAGCAAATAGGATCCTTGCAGTTTTGAGGGTTTTTATGAATGAACTCGAACAGATGGATATATAGATGAATAGATACAGAAAAATGAACAAAAGTCATATTCTCTCCTTTAAGGGAGTAACTTACTACACATTCCATGTAAACAAAATCTATAGTAAGATTTCCCCAAATAGAACTCAGGGACCAGTGTTACGAGAAAATTCCCAACATTAAGAACAAATCCCAAACTACCACTCCAAAACAATAAAAAGCAAAGGTCCACTCATTTTTACAGTACAAAAATTTTATTTTTTTTTGTTAGGATAATTTAAAGTTTAAAACTGAAGTAGACATATTCATTTTACAAACAAGATACTCTTTAAGTAAGACCATTAAAAACAGTAAACAAAAAAGCTGTCTTTACAAAAAGCTCTGTGCATAGCAACTTTATACCGTATATAACTGACAAAGCAAAACAATAAAATGAAACTGTACAGTTTGAAAATGAGACTTCACTGTACAAAAGGGTAGAGAAGTTAATGGTTTTTAAACCATGCATATTGAAGTGTGTAAAGAAAAACTGAGAAGAATTACAATGCTATAACAAAAGAATGAGATAAATAATGAAGTAAATTGTCCCTTTAAATGAAAAAGAAATCTTACACAGCTCCTCTTACAAACATAGGATAGAGTTTGTAGTTAACTATAGAAATACTCGTATTCCAAGTGGCACAAAAATAACCTGGGGAATGACCGAATAGCAATGACTAATGAGGACAGGGTAGCTTTGTTTTTAATTTAGTACACTAAAAATAATCCTTACACACATTTGTACAATTAAATAGGTCTGTTGCTGCCAGGGTTCTAGCTGAATGGTCAAGGATGTCTGGTATTTAGTTACACGCATTTTTCGGTGTAAAGCTACCAACAAATTCTACAGTCATTTTGAAGACAGTACTGCACTCATCTTCATGCAAGAGGAAAATTCACAGGTTCTAAAAGCAATGCTACTGAAAAAAACATTTCCTTATGTTGGATTGGCTCAAATCCAGGGCTAAACATGCTTAATTTTGTTCTGCCTTCACTTTTGGAAGGTAACGTTTGTATTCCACACATTCTTCCCCTTCCATCAATCAGTCTCACTGGGGAACTTTTTCTCTTACTTTTCCGTGTATTTTGGCGCTTTAAGCCCTGACTATGAGGGACTGTCAGCAGTAGTTATAAGCATGCCAGGTTTCTAAAACCTTGGATTCTCATGTGCATAGAAATAATGTAAGTCATAGTGGGTCATTCCAGAATGGATTAAAGGCAAATAAGACAGTTGGGGCTGGATAGGTGTGGGGCTGCATCCATGGGTCAAAGAGAAGGTATGCAGAATTAATGAAGTCATCTAAAATTGGCTCAGATGCACTCATGATGTTTTTCCATGAGTGCTGCATCTATTTCTAATGCTGAAATCCCAACCAAGAACCCCAAACTAAGTCTGTGTATAGACTCTACTATGGTGCTAATGAGTCAGGAGAACCCCAATGTGGAAACAAGTGACATCCTCATTGGCAATCCAAATATGCCTGGATATGTCTCTAAGGATCACATAGGCTTTCAGGAATCAACCTCTGTTAGCAGCTAAGGCAAGGTTCTTCCTCCCTAAGAGCTAGTCACAGCAAAGTGAAGAGCCCAACAAAGGGCTAGGTAACTGTGCTGCATAGAATACAGATGTCCCCAATCTCTGGATCTCCCACGAATCAGGTCTTCCCTTTCTTTCAACAAAATAAGGTGGGATTAGGGCTTTTAATATCCCTCTCCCATACCCCATCTCATTCTTGACTAGAAACAATCATGAGTGGGATAGCTGTGTTTTTCAAGAGAGTTTAATGCCATTAAAGAGGAAATTTACAGAGAGAGGAAAAGACCTGGATGTTCTGAGACTGACTCTTAAGAGTCCATGAAACAGAGTTATCTTCTCCAAGTCCTGTTTCTGAAGTTCTATGGGGCTATGTACCTCTGTACTGAATCAGGCACCCAAAGAGGAGGGAGTGATGGGGTTCTGGTGAGGAAAAATTCCCAAAGGGTCCCTTAGTTAAGAATAGTCTGTGGTTTTGGCTCTGCCAGAAGGTGAGACACTTCTTTCCTTGGGATGCTGAAAGCCTGAGACACACTCAAACATGGGAATTCTCTGGTCTGCTCAGGGGAAAATGTTGAAAGCTAATAGGAATTTTTAAAAAAATATTCACAAAACCGGTGGACTACTTAGAAATCAGACGGAGGTGGGAATGAATTGATGGGTTGGAATATTTTTCGCATGTGCTAGAGTCTCTGTTTCTGCATTATGTTGTTCTGTTGTTCTGCATTATGTTGTTCTGTTCTTGGGTCAATAAAATGATGGAAAAGGGGGGATGTAGGACAGGGGATAAGAATCTAGTAAGTAACTGCAGTAATAATCACACACCTTTAAAACTTGGTACTACATGTTTGCATCATTTGCATTTTACATCAGGAAGAGAAATTCCTTTCTCTTCCAAAAAAAAAAAAAAAGATCTTAATTTCTACCTCTACTTACAATAAGTTACACGTTTATTTAAATAATTGTAAAACATTTTAAAATTTTTCCCTTTTTTTGTTCATTTTCTGTTTAAAGAGATTAAGCTATAAGCAAACACACATACAACATTTCATCATTCGATTCAGGTTTCGTTTTAAGAAAGTCTTCCATGCTGGTACCCTGTTTTGTTCAATTTTTTTTCTGCATAAACTAAATTGGTATCTGAAAGGCTTCATAGAAAATAGAAACTTTCAACTTTTTTTTTCCTACAAAGAAAAACAAATAGTATCCAAAATATTAAGCATTAATTGTTTGCCAATTTTTTTCTTAAATATTTTACAAACATAGGAAGGTGGTTTTCATAATGTTCATAACAAAGAATTGCATTTCTGCTTTTAGCACTGACTACGTCAATGACATCTTTTGTCCTTGTCCCCAAGAGGGTCAGTTTGTGTAGCCACCGTCAGAGCTTTAGGAGGACGTGGGACCAAGATGCCGGCTCCTTGCAGACCCAAGTGTGTCCATCGTGTTCGTGTGGGGGCACCGCTCCCCCCTCAAAGAGCTCATAGTGCTTTCTTCATTACTGGTCCATCAGAGTAAGTAGTTTTATGCTATAAGAAAGCAGTTCTTCTTTACATTGGGGGTACAACAAGTCCAGTCATGGCTGCAAGGAAAGAGTGGCACAGGAATGAGATGTGGTGACTTTTTATGATCAAGGCTGTGACACAGAGTGAGGGACATGGGATGGGAATGATAGAATCTGATGCGATCCAGGGAGACAGTGCCCTCAGCTGATATGAGGACCGGTTCTCTAGGTTTGGTCTAGCAGACAGCCCATTAAAGGCACTGAAGCATTATGGAATCACTGAAGTACCGGGAAACCTTATTGAAGTTTTCCCTGGGAGGCCAGGAGTTACATTTTGTTTTATATTAATGGGTTGTATAAATGAGAGAACAGATGTAAACTAAACTGTAATATATGCATGATATCTTTTTTTCTTTGACTAAAATACCAGATTATACTGCTCCAAATCACTTAGTTGGAACAGGAAACGAAAGTCCACGTGCCAAGCCTGTTGATCTACCAGGGCATCATTTATAGCAAATGAGGCTTTTTATCCACCCTACGCTTCTTGGGTGAGTGCTTTTTTTTTTTTTTTTTATTTTTTTTTTTTTTTTTAGTTCATCTTCCTTTGGTACTCACTGCAGATGTGTGATGCTCACTGCTAATGAATGCTGATTACTGCAATAGAAGACTTCATTTAGTTTATCAATTCCCACTCTCTCTTATTTTTAAGCGGAACCTTGCTCTGTGACCCAGGCTGGAGTGCAGTGGTGCCATCTCAGCTCACTGCAACCTTCTGGGTTCAAGCAATTCTCCTGCCTTTACCTCCTGAGTAGCTGGGACTACAGGTGCATGCCACCATGCCTGGCTAATTTTTCTATTTTTAGTAGAGACGGGGTTTCACCGTGTTAGCCAGGCTTGTCTTGAACTCCTGACCTCAGGTGATCCACCCATTTTGGCCTCCCAAAATGTTGGAATTACAAGTGTGAGCCACTGTGCCCAGCCCCCAGTTCCCATTCTTCATCGCCCTATGTAAATGCAGTAGTCCAATTATTTCTCCCTCCATTGAGTCGAGGATTTGGACAATGCCCATCTGGGTGGAAGGACTTCTAAGGGTTTCCCTAGGTGCGATAAATAAAGCAGCACCAGCACAATGTGGAAAAATCCCACAGCAAAATGTATTGCTCATGCTCACTTTGAGAACATGTGCCCGTGGGATTTTCATGTTCTAGGAAAATGGCAGACTAGTTTCCTCGCATCATAATCTTTAAAATCATATCTAGCATTTGATTCTTTGCATTTTATTATCTACATTGCATCGAAGGAATTATTAGATATAATAGAAGCATTTTGCTGAGGGTTGCTTATTAAGCTTTCAAGGAAATGGCTGAAATTCTCTCCCTGTTTCTCAACCCTTCCATCTCTCTCTCCTCTCTCACATTCTCCGCCTCTTTTTTTCCACATCACCTAGTCCTCTCAGGCAGAATTGTCAGCCATCTCTTTCCCTGCCCATACAGCCTTTATTGAATGTTTGTGAGATCTGGATTAAGGTCTTACACAGCTAGCAAAGCCTTAATTATTTTTGCCTGTATTACTATATATTGAATCAATGTAACTTTTCAATAAAGGCGGTTCAATTCTGGACACTCCCTGATGATTTAGAGATACAGCAACCCTAGGAATTATCCCAGAGTGTAGAAGGTTTTTTTTTTTTTTTCCCTTGGAGGGAGCTGGAAAATGAATCATAGTATGTAATATTATCTCAACAATCTATGCTCATCAACTGGAAGTGCCTGATAAATGAGGTAGAAGGTGGAACATGAATGCTATATGTGGAGCTCTCTGGCAGTGGATTTCTGACTCAAATTCTGAAATTTGTCTATTATATTTAAAACTCCTGGTTGGGCATGGTGGCTCACGCCTGTAATCCTAGTACTTTAGGAGGCTGAGACAAGAGGATCGCTTGAGCCCAGGAGTTTAACACAAGCCTGGGCAACATGGCGAAAACCCATCTCTACGAAAAATACAAAACTTAGTCAGGCATGGTGATACATGCCTATAGTCCCAGCTACTCAGGAGGCTGAGGTGGAAGAATCTCTTACTGAGCCCAGGAGGTCAAGGCTGCAGTGAGCCACGATGGCACCACTGTACTACAATGTGAGTGGCAGAGTGAGACCCTATCTCAAAAAGAAGAAAAATCCTCACCCCATTCCTTTTTCTGGGCGCTCAGAGAGACACCAAAAGGGCTTATGGAACAGCAGAGTTGCTCAAAGAACAAGATCCCCTATATAACCCTTCCTCCTAGTCCCACATCCAGACTGGGTAGGCTTGAGCTCTGCTAGGTGGGGCTCTGACTTTGCTTGTAGAAATCATAGCCAACAGACAGAAAGCAATAATCTCCCTTTGAACCAGGTGGAAAGTAGGCAGAGCACAGGCTCTGGAGTCCAGATGTCTGGGTTCAAGTCATCAGATACTTCCTGTGTAGCCTTGGGTGAACCGCTTAACTAGGAATCATGACAATGGCATGAGTTGAAGGAGATACTTCTTGTAAGGCACTCAGTTTGGCACCTTGCCTGTAGTGCTCAGGATAGTTAGCAAGCCTCAGAGAGTATGGGCAGCACATGCCTTTGCAGACAATGCTATCTATCTAGAGAAAGGCCCCTCCCCAGCCTGTGGTGACTCAGGCACTCAGCCCACATTTTCACCCTCCCACTGTCTTTCTCTAAAGAGATGGAGCTCCCTGTCCAGCAGGACTCTGAGAGCCCAGGAATTTTTTTGTTCAGTGACTGCATTAAACGTCAGCTTGGCTTCTTCCCTCTCTCTACTCCAGGGAACTTCACAATGCTGGACATTGAGCTTCCGTGCACCTGGTCTACAACGAGGAAGAGCAGAAGGTACGATCCCTGAGGACATCATGCCTCCTCTCGGCCAGGCTGTGGGAAATATCTGTTATCTTGCCTAGACCTTCACATAAATTAAGTCTGTAACAACCCAGCCTTTGGGGATAGCTATTGGTTTTCTATTTAACATGCTGGGAAAATGAGGCTCTGAGAGGATAATGGCATGCACAGATTCACTCGGCCGGGAAAGAGCTGAACTAGAACTCCGCACATGGCTGGTGACGTCATGGCCAGCGCCCTTCCAGTGGCTAATACCTTTACGGTTGTCCTCAGGATTCGCTTTTATTTCTCCACATATCACTTAATATTTTCATACATTTTTTACAATTTCTTTTTAGGCTACTGCCCTAAATTGACAGGTGCTTTTCTCTCCTCCCACACCTCCTCCAAAAATTTTGTCTTTTAGAAAGAAAGACTACACATGGGGTATAGTGTATACTGCACAGGTAACTGGTGCACCAAAGTCTCAAAAATCACTGCTAAACAACAACTTATCCATGTCATCAAAAACCACCTCTACCCCCCAAAATTATTGAAATTTTCTTTAAAAATATGAAATTTTAAAAAATATTTTAGATATGGGGTCTTGCTGTGTTGCACAGGTTAGGCTTAAGTGATCCTCCTGCGTTAGCCTCCCCAGTATCTGGGACCATAGTTGTGTGCCACCACATCTGACTCCTTCTTTTAAAGGTTCAAGTCACCAGAGGAATGTGGAGGGAATAGAAGGATTCAAATGACGTTTGGAACCTTGCAGTGGCTCTAGAAATGAAGCTAGAGCCTAGAGCCTAGAGCCTGTGCCTACATGCAACTCACCAAATCATTGCTCCAATAAACCTATCAATCAGGCATGTGCTGGTCAGCCCAAGCATCCTGAGGGCTGGTGACCAGAAGTTTGGGTAGCTGGGGACCCTGGAGAAGGTCTTCTGGCTGTTTCTGCTGCAGCTGCCCACAAAGGGAACCTAAGACCAAGCAAGGTTTCCTTCCAGCTCTTTGGGTTGATTCAAACCTGACTTAAGTAACACCACAGGAGCCTTGCTCATGCAGGAAGAGGTGGGGTGGGGATAACAGACCCTGGGAGTCTGTACAAAACTTGTCCTGGCCACCCTGTAGGCTGAGAGCCAGGCAAAACAGACGGAGAAGCTCTGACACAACCAGCTCCACCTCTCGGCGAGAGAGGAGGTGGGGAAGGGGTGGCACGTGGAAGTCAAGTATGCTTTTTTCAAGTGAACCTGAACATATCTGCTAAGTGGCCAGGAAGGAGGAATGGGTTGCATCCATCCCTTCTTCCTCCTGTCCAATGCAGAGGAAAGCCTGCACCCCTCCTTGGTCTGTTTCAATCTGCATTTTTGCCAGTAAGACTAGTTGGGTCTGCACTGTTTAAGGTCCATGAATAAAACCAGAGAACTTAAAAAGAGGAAACATCAACACTGAAGAGATTGGAAAGTACAGTGAATATTCAGCAATCATTTTCATTTCCCCACCTGGAGATGAAGGCATCATGGAAAAAGCTCTGGGCACATCCCCTAAGAATGGGATGGAAACCACTGGTCTTTGATGAAAAACAGAGCAGGTGGAGACACTCAGATACAGGCTTAGCCTATTTCTCTATGAATTAGACATCTGGGGGAAAATCCCTGCCAAAGAATCCATCAAATTTCCAGATGTTTCCAACTACCCACACGTTGGGTGGCATATAGACCCAGCTGCTTTGTCTAGTTAAAAGGAAAAGAATTATCAGCAATGTTTCTAAGTGCTGCGTTTTCCATTCTGGTTTTGACAGTTTGTCATGTCACTTGACTTCCAGAAAACACCATCATCTCCAATGTTGGGATGGCACAGGAACCTAAGGTAACTCCCAGAGCTCTGCTCAGCCACAAGATGAGAATGACCTCTTACAAGTGTCCCAGAATAAATAGTAACTTACACTCTACCACCAAACCACCAGGCAGATGCCATCCCAAGGACAGCGCAGCCCATCCAAGGTTCCCCATCAAGCACGGCTGACCTCACAGGCTTTGATCCACTAGGGATTAACGAAATCTCTTCCCTTTTTAGTTTTACCCAACGCTGCTTGTTGTAAACATTTTTGTGTCATGACATGAGAGGAGCAGCCTAAAAGTAAAGTGGGTTGCAAGTAAGCCCCAGTCCTCAGCAGTTTCCAATTTGCTCTTTTGTTGTTGGCTGCCCCCCGTCCATGATGAGATGATTCGATTCTCATATACTCATCACATTTGTGTTATGTCATGCCATGTTATATTTTAGAACATTGCTCAAAAATGGTCTGGATGGATGACATTAATTTTTGTTCTTAGAAACTGTATGTCTTTTCCTCTTTTTCTCTACTCTCCACAACGCCCTACTCAGGCACCTGCCATCAATTTGACTTGCATGTAACTAGAATTCACAGAACTTTTTGGTTGCTCCTGCTGGCTCCTGTCCACGTGTGCCAAGAGGACATGCAGGCACTGTGACAGTAAGCAGAAAGCACCACATGACATCCTATGGGGTGGGTGACTGAGAGAGAGGGGAATGGCTTCGTGGATAGCATAGGGCTAGGAAGTCCAAACACTCCTCATTGTATGTATGGCTCTACCATGGTTAATTCCATGACCTGCAGAGTTTGCTCATGTCTGTTTCACCCCATTTTGCTTTGTGTTATTTTTTGAGATGGAGTTGTGCTCTTGTTGCCCAGGCTGGAGTGCAATGGTGCGATCTCCACTCACTGCAACTTCCACCTCCCAGGTTCAAGGGATTCTCCTGCCTCAGCCTCCTGACTAGCTGGGACTACAGCACCCCCGGCTGATTTTTGTATTTTTAGTAGACATGGGGTTTCCACATCCTGACCAGGCTGGTCTTGAACTCCTGACCTTCAAGTGATCCATCAGCCTTGGCCTCCCAAAGTGCTGGGATTACAGGCGTGAGCCACCACACGTGGCTCCATCTTGCTTTTAGATGGAGCCCTTGCCTGGCTGTGTGAGTCATTCATGTCCCATGATAAGAAGAGGAAAGTATTTCTTTGTAGATAAATGGCTGGAGCTATACAATGATGTACTGTTGGCTCCTACTTTGCCACCACTAGGGTACACTGTGTCATGTGTCTCCCCAAAGTAGAACCCTCACCTACCTCTGAATCCATTTCCATTGCCACTGGAGCAGGCAGGTGAAGGGGAGCCTTGGGGCCTGATGACAGGGGCAAAGGCACTCTTCTGTTTGACAGCAGGAAAAACTGAAGAGGAAAATGGAAGGATGGAGGATGTACTGGAAGATCCAACGGTGGGACTTGATGACATGACTGGAAAGCAAACACAAAATCCTCGTTTAGAAATTAAGATGTTCCTTCAGTTCACACATTTGGCATACATTTGAGAAACTGTTAATTTCCAGGCATTGTTCCAGATTGCACTATTAAAAAAAAAATTTTTGAATGTGACAACATTCCTACCCTGTCCAGTGGGAGGAAGAGACACATAAAACAACTAATATGGTAATGATCCTATTAGAGGAAGGTACCCAATGTCCAGGAGATACAGACAGCAGAGGGCTCTTCTGCTTGGGAGAATTAGCAAGGCATCTTCAGGAAGTGATGTTGGACCAAATCTTCATTCATGAGTAGAAGCTTGGCAAGACAGAAGAATGACACCAAACATGCTTGAAAAATCATCAGATCTACCCAGCAATGGAAATCACTTTTATACGCTACGGAAAGTCCTATCCGGGAGCTATATGCCGCCTCGGTACCTCCTAAGGCTCCAGGGGTTTGGTCTGTAGGGTTAACGTCTTCTCAGAGTGCCATCTCTGTGGGCCACTTCCTCATTAAATGTAAAAGATTATTAACATTCATAAGATTGCCTCCTTCTCCCATACTTTCAGTGCTCCTGGGAAGTCTACCTGCAAGTCAGTCTCCACTGACATGATGTTTAGAAAAAAACACCAATATTAATGACATTAACATTAAAATGACTTAAGGGAAACCAAAAGCTGAGTGTTGTAATTTCCAAGAAAAATAAAAGCAGTTTACACGATGAAGTACTCCACCAAATCACATCATGCAAGACGACAATTTTATCTCCTATGTTCAACTTACGAGAGGGGTAAACTAGAGTACACAAGGGTAAAACTCTTAGATACAGCACCTTATAGTATAAGGTCAAGTTTTAGCCACTTGTATTAGCATAATTCCCAAAATTTTGAACCATCCAAGTCACATGACCTGATAAAAGTATTGCTGGAACCTAATGACAAAGCTCAGCAGTGCTAACTCTAGCTCTGTATTTTCACTAGACTGTCTTTGAAAATGAGGACATGGGCGAGACTTTTGACTGAAAGACCAAGTACAAGGTGAACTCGAGGTCAGATGTCCATGGACAACTCTACCCTCATTTCCCCTCCCTCCCTACAAAAATACATTTTGGGCCACGTCTATCCAATTGCCTGTATAAAGCACTTATGTAGCACACCTCCCATATGATGTCTTTTATGGCTAAACTAAAATCCAAAGACTTGAAAAGAAGAGCTTTCTCTAAAAACTTCTTATCCTTAACGTAGCCTTGATTTAAGGAGCTATGCATGTGAGCACATAGGGGAGCATCACACACTGGCGTCTGCTGGGGGAGCTAGGGGAGGGACAGGGAGGTTGGGGAGGTTGGAGAGGGGATAGCATGGGGAGAAATGCCAGATGTGGGTGACAGGGGGATGGAGGCAGCAAACCACATTGCCATGTATGTATCTATGCAACAAGCCTGCATGATCTGCATATGTACCCCAGAATCTAAAGTACAATTAAAAAAAAACTGGAAAGGAGAACAAAGTTCTGGAAGAATCTCATGTAATACTTGAACATGTAAATGAATAAAAGCATCGTTGGGCTAATTCGCATTATAAGACAGGACACAGGGTTAAGCGTTAGGAGTGGGTCTTATTCATGGTTCTGAGCAAAATCTCTTCTAGCCTTGGGTTTGGCATTAGTGAAATAGAAAAACAAAAGACAAAAAGAAAATCCAAAGCAGAAAATCCCCAACTAAGGCACAGAATTAGAGGCCAAAGAGAAGCTGAGACTTAGTAGGTCCTGATTCTACCATATTCCAATATCTGCAATACTACATAATCCCCGGGGGCCCCAAAATAGTGCCTTGGTTTCTGTGTCTTCAACAGCAGAACCTCCTTAGACATCACCATTGAAGAGATTTTTATGATGTGAATTAGGCATTCCCACACACTCCATTCCATTTATATTCAGCAAATGACTCACTAGTACAGATAATTATTTTCTAATAACAGATTTCAATGGAAAGTAGGGCCCATTAGATCGAAAATGGTTCCCTCACAGTGGGAGGAGAAAGCTTTACTGAGTAACATGAAGGAATTGTTGCAGAATTGAATAAATACTTGCCTGTTTTAAATATTTCTTACAACAATTTCGTAAAAATGCCAAAATGCATTCAAATTAATTTAAATTTTGATGCAACTATAATAAAACTACTAAAAGGAATTTGAATTTATGCATTTTGGTAAACACAATTACTGTGTTTGCTTGTTTCAAAAAATAACACGGTAAGAGACAGGAAGCTTTGTTTAAAAATTTTCTTACATAGTAAGAAAACACTTATGTTCATCTGTGAAATCACAGTTGTACTGACACAGAAATAGACAGATCTTTAGAGCACAACAGAGTTCAGAAACAGACCTGGGTATAGATGGGAATTAATACTTAATAAAGGTGACATTTCATATTAATAGGAAAATAAATGCATGGAAAAATACTAACCCTTTGGAGACTAAGTTTAGAGTACTTCCTCATGTTAAACACTGAAGTAAATCTGAATAGATTAAAAAGTTATTTTTAAAAGCAGAAAAAAGTGCTAGTAGAGATATTAGGATGGTTAGAAGTTTACAAGATAGATTTGCCACATAATGAAAAACTTCTACCACAAACGCGAAAAGGCAAATGACAGATTAAGAAAAATATTTGCAACACATATTTAGATATGCTCATATCCTCAATAGCTCATAAGTTTTCATAAGTTAATTGGAAAAAGAAAAACACCCCAAGAGAAAAATGGGCAAAGGACATACAAAAAGAAAATCAGAAATAAAAATGACCAAGAGAGATCCATATAGAAACACTCAAACTGGCTCATAATAAAATGCTAAAGAAAACAGTAACAAGATCTTATTTTCCACTTACTAAATACATAAAGAAAAAATTAACAGGGTGGGGAAACATACATTCTTTCTTTTCTGAGGGAAGAATTAACCTCTCTGAAGGGACGTTGGCAATATATATCAAAGTATTTTAAAATGTGCACATCCTTTGACCCACTAATTTAATCTCTAGAAATTAATCCCAAGGAGATAGTCACGACTGTGCCAAAAATAATAGGTTCAAGGGCATTTTTATAATAATGAAAAATCGGGAAGTAAGTGACCCATAATAGGGCACATAATATTTAGTGCGTGCAATAGAATGCGATGTCAATATTAAAACTAATGTTGTAGAATATTTAATCATATGTAAATAGATACCTCTTCAGATGAGAAAAACAGATTACATAACACACATATTAAGCTCCCTTTACTTTTTAAAAATAAACATAGCAAAAGTCTAGAAGGATGTGATACACATCCAAAATTTTAGCAATGGTATCTCTGACCAATGGGATTATGAATATCCTTAAATGTATTGCTT